ATGGGTTCCTAAAGGACTCATTACTACTAAAGATAAAGATATCCTACATAAATGCATACCTAAGGGGACTAGGATTTTGGAAACTAATGAATATGGACCCAAAAGAATTTGGGTACCAAAAAATATAAATTAATCTATGTTTGTAGGAAAATGAGCATTGCTACAAGGCACGGGAAACAAATTCAAACTCATGGTACCTTGATAGTGGATGCTCAAGACACATGACCGGAGACAAAAGCCGGTTCATAGAGCTTAACGCCAAAAATGGAGGAGAAGTGACTTTTGGTGATAATTCAAAAGGTTACATCGAAGGTATAGGTACAATAGGTAATACCTCTTCCATACAAATTAGTAAAGTTATTGACATTGCATCTAATCGGATTATGCTTGTTGGTCATAGAATAGGAAACATATACATGGTGCATTTAGACTCTATAGATATGACTAATTTATGCCTAGTTGCTAAGGATGAGCATGATAGTTGGTTATGTCATAGGAGACTAGGACATGCTAATATGAGTGTCTTGCAACGGTTAATTCAAGGAGATTTGGTTCGAGAGCTGCCTAAACTAAAATTTGATAATGATAAAATATGTGATGCTTGTGCTAAAGGAAAACAAAAGCGAGTTTCTTTTAAATCCATTAATGATGTATCAACTAGTAGAGTATTGTAATTGATCCATTTAGATCTTTTTGGGCCATCTAGAACTACTAGCTTGGGTGGAAAATAATATGCATTTGTCTTGGTAGATGACTATTCTAGATATACTTGGGTTATATTCTTAAGTACTAAAGATGAAGCATTAGAAAAATTCATCACGTTTTCAAAAGTAATCCAAAACGAAAAAGGTTACTCTATAACTAGTGTTAGGAGTGATCATGGAACTGAAATTGAAAATCTTGGATTTACTGAATTTTGCAATTCTAATGGTATTAGTCATAATTTTTCAGCACCTAGAACCCCTCAACAAAATGGAGTTGTTGAAAGGAAAAATTGAACTTTAGAAGAAATGGCTAAAACCATGCTTTGTGAAAACAATTTGCCAAAATATTTTTGGGCGAAAGCCACAAATACTGCTTGTTATGTTATTAATTGAGTAATGATTAGGCCTATTTTGAAGAAAACTCCATATTAACTTTTTAAAAATAAAAATCCTAACATTAGCTATTTTCATCATTTTGGATGTAAATGTTTTGTTTTAAACAACGGTAAAGACAATCTTGGCAAATTTGATGCTAAAAGTGATGAAGGAATTTTTCTAGGTTATTCCTTAAGTTCTAAAGCTTATCGAGTATTTAATAAAAGAAATTTAGTTGTAGAAGAGTCTATACATGTTGTTTTCAATGATAATCTCCTTTCGAGGAAGGATTCTTGTTTGAATGATGATGTAGGTATTATAAATACAAATGACGTTAGACATGACGTTGGAGAACCATTATCAAAGGAAGACACCTCCGGTACTTGCCAATTCCTTGGAAATATGTTGATTTCTTAGTTTTCAAAGAAACAAAATTGTGTTGCATTATCTACCACTGAAGCCGAATACATTTCAGCTGGTAGTTGTTGTGCACAAGTTTTATGGATGAAACAACAATTTTTTTATTATGGAATTGAAGTAGGTACCATTCCTATCAAGTGTGACAATACTAGTGCTATTTGTATCACTAAAAATCCCATCCAACACTCTATAACTAAGCACATTGAAATAAGACATCACTTCATTAGAGACCATGTCACTAAGGAAGATGTAGTTCTAGAATTTGTTGATACTTTGCATCAATTAGCGGATATCTTTACAAAGCCTTTGGACAAGGAACGTTTTTGGACACTTAGGAGAGAATTAGGTTTAACTAACCTATCTTCACTTAGTGCTTAAAATAATTTTAGCACTTTTAAGCATAAATAAAAAAATGCTTATAATAGTAATTTTTGATTGCATTCATTGCTTTTAGTTAGAATTAGTTTATGATTCTTGGTGAAAATTAATTTTATGTTCAAATGTAATTTAAAGATTAATTTGATGGATTGAGCATGATTAATTTTTAATATATAAGTTGTCAATAACACTAGAGAAAATTAATTTAGCATTTTGAGTGTTTAAAATCAGATTTTATCATTTTTGGTGCAGAGGGAATCGATACCCCCTTGAAGGGGAACCGATTCCCCCTGTAGGGGAATCGATACCCCCTGTAGGGGAATCGATACCCCCTGGTGTTCTGGTTTTTAACACGGGCAGAACACCCCAAACTTTCAAACCCTCTCTTCTTCTCTCTTAACCGTTTTCCTCTCTACTCTCACCCTATCTCCATACTTCATCAAAACAATGTTTTTTAATTGGAATTCTCTTCAAATATCATCTCATAAACCTGTTGGAATCATAAAAAACGTGCAAACTTCATCTAATCTCACTCAAATCCGAAATTCTTCAAGGTATTTTTCTAAAACTTCTATTTCATCAATTTTTGAACATAGAACTAGTTTTAATTAGTTCTAGGTTGAACTTTAGATCGGGCATTGATTGTTTAGTGTTTAGAAACTAGATTCTACAACTAATTTTATCAAAAACACAAGAATTTTCAAAAATTTTAAAAATTTTCAAAATTAAAAAAAAATAATTTTCAAATTGTTGTGTTTTGATTTAATTATGTTGTTATTATGAAAAATATGTGTATATTGATTTTCAAACCCTTATTTTTCAATAGTTTTCAAAAACTTTGCCCATTAGATTTGGTTTAGAGAACCTTGAAATATTGAGAACTCAATTGAGTTTTGGGATTGATTATATTGCATACATGTGTTCTTAAAATTGCAGGTTATTTCTTCTATTCCGATTACCTTAAATCATGTCTCATAAACATTCTAGACCTTCCTCTAGTCATTCTACCCAACCTCCAATCTCACATCCAAATCCTCCACCTATCCAACAAATTCCCATTCCTAATCCCGATGATCCAAACATGACAATTTTCACACTAAAATGGCTCTATTGACTCCACTAATCATCCCCAACGTTCAGAATCATTTGAAGGTGTATTTAAACAAGCTTAGAATCTATTGATCAATAACAAGAAACAACAATCAACAAGAATCAAGAGAGAATCAAAGAGAAAGCATCAAACCTCAAGTTTGAGCATTTTCAAGCCTATTTCATTCAATATTCATTTTTGCTTTCAAGAACACTTATTGTGCTCAATTGTATTATTCTTGAGTGTTCTTTCTTTGTTCTAGAATTGTGCAAACATCTTGCATTGTGAGGATTTTCTTGTAAGTTTGCAAAATTTGTATTATTCTCTTTGGGAGAGAGTGTTGTCAAGAATTTGGGGTATAATTCTTGAGGGATTTGTAAGGTTACTCTTTGTCCTCAAAAGAAAGACAAATTAGTGAATTTATGGAAAATCCTTAGTGTGGATAGCTAAGGTAGTGGACGTAGACTTTGGTTGAGAAAGTCGAACCACTCTAAATCGATGTGCAAATCTTTTCAATTTTCTGCAAAGCTTCCACCGAAATTTTTATTTGCCAATTCACCCCCTCTTGGCCAACTCTATCGATCGATTAACTCAACAATTATGTTTTTTAAAAATGTTTTTACTATATACTCACATACATAATTGTTTGAATCCAAGATCTTTATAAAGAATACACTCTCTTTAACCGCTGAGACGGGTTAGTAAGTTGGGATATTTAATGTTTAAGTGATGGTTTATATACTCTGTATGTTAGAAAAACAATTTGTACATGGTTTAGGATTTCTTATGTGTTTTTGGGCGAATTACATGTTGAATATAAAAAGGTTATTATTTTTAATTTAGTTCATAAAATCTTTTATTTATTCTAAAATTTATAAATTAAATTTATATTAGTTTATTCTAATTTTCTCTCTTTTTTTAGTCTGTCGTTAGTCTCTTTTTTTCTTTATTTTATGATCAACGACGACATCACTCTTAATGTTGGTCGCCGACCACTAGTATTCATAATTTTTTATTATATTGTATATTTATTTTTTCCTTTTTTTAATATTTAATAATTATGTATTTATACACGTTTTCCTATGTCTTTACAACACATTTTTCTTTGTCTTAATGGCACATTTTCGATCATTGTTTTCGTTTATATTTTTTTTCATGATTAGATTTTACATTGTCACGATGGATCAAGATTACCCTTATTTATTATCGTGCTGATCTTCCCTGCTTTGGATCATCAAATTGAATTTGGATATGCAATTTGCGTTTGTGAATAGTTTTTTTACGTCACTCGACTCTGATTTACGATTAGTTGATGATCTTTCAATAGCTTAATTCCCTTTTTGTGATTCGTTTTTCAATGTAATTAGATATATTTCTATCTATCTTTTGTTTGAATTTATTTGATTAGATTTTTTAATATTTTATTGTATGATTTTTTAGTGATTTTAGGTGGTTAGTTTATTGTTTTATTGATTATAAGAAAATGTCTTATCACGTGTTTATTTTATGATTGTGTTTGTAAATCTTCATTGTAATTCGAGTATTTTTTATTTTCAATTAAACTAGTTGCTTCGGTAAAATATAAATTAAATATAAATAATAAAAAATTATATAAAAAAATTATTATACTATAATTTGTAACATGAAATAAAAAATAAAAAAATAAAATAGTTTGTAGTAAAAAATAGAACTAAAGAAAATAAAATATATTATAATATTATAAGAGTAGGTTTATGCTTTTCTAAAAAAATATTAATGTTTTCCTCGAGTGAACGTTAGGATCTTAGGGTGTTTATGGATGTAGTAGTCGATATGAAGTGTGATATGATTGAGTATAGTTAATTTTTAAGATTTGTTATCTTATATTTTAGGGTTATAAGGATTAAAATTGTCGGGTTTATGTTTGTGTTGAGCATTTTGCATGTAAAAGTATTATATAAAAATATATTTTATAATGTTTGTGTTGATTTGTATAGTCAAATCAATTTCTTATCAGTAAAATCTGTATAATTTACGAATACAAATATCTCATTTACAATTTAATTTCAACAAATCTCTTTTCTTAGGATTCATGACTGCATTTGTCTAGTTGCTCTATTATAAATGTATTTTTTGGCAAAATAGAAATAGAGAGCCAATTCTATGGCACTAAGTGCAGCAAGCAGCCAATAAAAGTAATAAAGATGTGCCTTATTCAAATTATTTGGAAACCAACTCTCTCCACCGCTCCCTCCTGTTGCTTTGTCAATGGCAGAAATTAGAATGCCGCTCAAAAAGCTTCCAACACCAAAGATGCTAAGGTACAGTGCAAGACCAATGCTTCTCAATTCATTTGGGACCTGATCATAGAAGAATTCTTGAAGACCAACCATGGTGAGCATGTCAGACAACCCAGTCACAACATATTGAGGAACCAAACACCACACACTCATCGGAATCGTGGCTTCTGGCTTGTCCACCAAACCATGTTCCCGAGCGATTTTAATCCGCTTCATTTCGGTTAAAGCTGCAAGTGCCATTGATATGGCAGATAAAAACATCCCAGTTCCGATTCTCTGAAGCATTGTTATTCCGGCAGGTTTTCCAGTCCAGGCTCTTGCTAAAGGAACAAAAATACAGTCATATATAGGAATGGATAGAACAATTGTAAGGCTGATGAATGCCTGAAGTGAAGCTGCTGGTATTTTAACACTTGTTGTAATTGATCTGTCCATGGTAGCGCCTTGTTTTGTGAAAAAAGTCGATGATTGTGCAAGGACAACAGCATAAACTAAGCTTGTAGCCCATATCGGAACTAGCCTTAGAACAGCCTTTGCTTCTTCAACCTCTCCAATGCAGCACACCTTTCCATGTTCCTTTGAACCGTCTGGAGCAAGCAAGGCTTTGTTGAGGAATCTGCCATATTAAAAAATGCAGATACCCGTGTTAAAGGTAAAAAAACTACAAATACTTTTCATAATCCATCGGAAAAGGGAGAAAACAATTCACATATTTCAGCCCAGTTAAATTTAGAAAATTAGAGAAGAAGCACAGGATAGTGCAAGAACTCCCTGATGGCAATACAAAGCCATTGAAAAATGCACATTTATAAGCAGGAGCTTATACGTGCTTCATTCAACTGAACAATAACAGGATATGTCAAACAGAACAACACAAAATATCAATTTACAAGTTCTAACATCTACATTTGAAAGTGGGGTAAACATTTAACTTACTTGTATTGCTCGGAACCTGCTGATGGCAGAGTCCCATAAGCTTCTTTATCGGCAGCTATTGATGATGTTCTCCAATTCCGAACTGCTAAAACAAACACCTGACCAATCCTTACAAATGGACTCTTCTCATTTCTTTTGACACTATACCGGTAAGTAGTTGTTCCACACAAGAAAACAACCAGTGCAACAACCATGATGATACAGGGGATACCAAATCCAAGAACCCAACTAAGGTTGTCTTGGATATAGTTTAAAATCAAAAATGCTACTAAGGTGCCAGAGCATAAACCAAAATACCACCAATTAAAGAAGGAACTTTTGGCTTTGAACTCCTCCGGGTTTTGTGCATCGAATTGATCCGCACCAAAAGCTTGGACACATGGTTTATGTCCACCTTGTCCAAATGCTACTAGATAGAGTGAGAAGAAGAAAATTATTACTTGTAACTGAGGAGAACACAGTATGCTGGTATCAGCCTTTTGGCACCAAGAAGTGTTCAGAGAAGGAAGAGTGGCCGACAAAGTTAGCAATCCGAGTCCCTGTAAATTATTTCAAAATCAAGTCAAAAGAGAAAACAAAAGCAACTCGACAAGTACTCCGAACAATTAACGAAACAAATAAATGAAGCTCAAGCACTTCTTTAGATCTGCCTTTAAAGAGTTTGCACTTTTCTAAAACTATCTACATTATGGCTAAGGCCATCTACAAGCTCAAGTATAAGTTCCATCTACTATGTATACTTGCTGAAGTTTGAATTAAAATTCAAAACTGGTTGCTTGAAGCAAAAAAAAAAAGTACCAAAAAGCTGTGGGCACTAGATCAAACCTTGCTTAAAACATAAACAATAATTTTCCAACTAGAACAAGTTGTGTAAACTGTTAAATGTTATCACCTCATTGGTACATAAGATGCAATAATATTCTGATATATAATAGAGTACTGTCAATGCTATTTTATTTTTTAGATGAGCTGTCAAAAAATTGCCTGTTCATTTTCAACCAGAAGATGTAATGATCAGCATTCCAAGAAAAGTAGAAAACATTAATAATAATTCACTTTAACACTCATTTAGCATGGGTAAACTATTTACATGCATCGCAGACCACACATATGAAATAAGATTTTCAGTTTCTACGTTGCATTTTCGTTTGCAAGCCAACAAAAGAAAAAAATAGTTCCAATTAAGAAAGTGCATACAAACAAGTTTAGAAACTAAGGAAAGTTGGGCAATTCCCCCCTTACAGCAAGCACACTGAATTTGGCAAAAAGTTCCAACTTAGAAACCATGAAAAAGAATCCATAACAGCTATTAAATCAACATCAAAGCCCCAAAACTGTGTTCAGTTATTATTTCTTCAAGACTTCAACAACGTTGGAGTAAACCAGCTACTGCCAGGACCAGCTTTACGCAGTATATCCTACACCTAATCTCAGAAAAGTGGTTCAAGATCATGCCAACTTTTACACCAAAAAACCTTCTCCATAACATATTCCTTGTAAGAGAATGATGCATAGTTATTTTCGTATCCGAGACTTAATGACGGTCTAAGGCTCTAAGCCTCACTCACAACTCCAATTCAGCTCTCGGAAGCTCTGACAAGAAATTCCCACTTCCTAGAAAGATTTACTTTTAACAGGTTACTATATATAACTAAAATTACAGGCATAACATACCAAAATAACAGACAAATGACTACAACGCAAATATAATTGAGAGCTGAGATCCAGTATCTTTTTTTTATATTCATAATTGGTAGGGAACGTATAATTGTGCAAAGAAAAGAAATCCTTTTTATGTTACCAAAATGTAAATAAGAGAAGCAACAATAATGGTGCGGTATCGGCCAAGAAAAGAATCAGCAATGAATGCCCCCAAGAGTGGCAGAAGCGCCGCCGTACCGGACCAGGTGTTGACATTCACGGCGGCAGTGGCGGTGGACTGACCCAGAGGTCCAGTTAAGTATGTTACAAGGTTGGAGTCGATTCCACAGTAAGCAAACCTCTCGGCAATTTCTACGCCTGCACTTGGATTCATTTTCATAAGCTTAGCGATTTATCAAATGGGATTATTGAGTAATTAAAACAGCAAGGCATCACCTATTATGAAGGAAGCGGATTTCCAGCCGCCGCAGCTGGTTCTTTCGACAGGGCGGCCTTTGTAGTCAAGGCAACCATCAACGATGTCTTCCACTAGGAGTGGGGTTTCAGCGCCGGAGGAGTTATTGGAGATTGCCATGTCCTTTGACCGTTGGGACTTGGGAGACTTGGTGTAAACATATCAACCGATGATCTTCGTTTATTAAATCATTTGATTTGATAACTTAATTTTTCATTTGGTAAATTACACAAATAGTCATCTGATTATAAGATATTAATTTTTTGGTTTTAAATTATTAAATTATAAAATGATCCTCTTATTATATGACTTTGTTTTGTTGAGTTTTGACTATTAAAAGTTATAAAAATGATAACTCGACTATTCATATATTCCAAAATTATCCTTTTCTGTTAAAAAAATTGGCATCTGTCTGAATTGGATGTTAACCTGCTAACTGAGATATTCTAAAATCATATTTTAATGATATCTACTGGTATCGTCGTTGCATTCAAGCATTGGTTCGCCAATATAATATTTCAAGCATTAGCTCGACAACAGAATGTAAACAAAGATTCAATCCATAAAATTACAGCTAAAACGATATCGATATAAAATTTTATCGTATCACAGTCAACAAGTTAATGTCTATCTCATATTACTATCAATTCTTAATGAAAAAAGAGTTTAAAACATATAAATAATTGAATGATCATTTTATAACTTTTAATAGCAGAAATACTCAATAATGTAACATTCTATAGTTGAGAATTATTTTTTAATTTATAACAATCAAAAGACTCGTTACAACAACACGCTATTATTTAGAACATTCATGTCCCTTACCCTTTTTTATTTGGATAAACTATAGATTTGTCACTTTCGTTTGAATTTTATAAACCTATAGTCAATAGATTAAGAATACATAATACAATCACTTTCATTTTATTTTAATTAAGATCTAGTCACTAAAACGTTAACTTCCGTTAGTTTGACGATGTGTCACGTTAGTAAAAGAGTTTAATTTTTATTTTAACCTTTGAACTTTAGATAAAATACTAATTAGGGGTCATTTTATAAATTTAAAATAATTTAGGGAAATAGTTCTAATTTATCCATTTTTTAATATACTTTTCTTCTTTCCCTTTCTTCCCCACTTGCAGCGATTGCTAGTGGTCATGATGGTCTGGAGAAGCTTTCTATTAGGGGAAGCAGCTCATCTTCACGTGGAGTAATTAACTTTGGGCTATCCACCATAGCTCGTGGTTGCCCTCGATGTTTCTTGGCTTTGTTTATGACCATCTTCCATGGTCGTTGACACTGAAAGAAGTGAGATATGGGAGAAGTGAAATAAGAGTGATTATGTAAGAAAAGAAGGGCAAGGAAGATGGTTCAGAGAAGTGGGAGATGGACAACGTGAAGAGTGAGATAAACATAATATAATTGTTGAATGGAGTCAGGGTTTGCAATAGCGTTTGCTATGGCTGTAATAGCGTTAGCTATGCCGTAATCACAGTAAATTCGAAAGGATCGAAAATACGACCGCGATTTGAAATCCTGAAAGGAGTGCTGCTTGAGCGCTTGGGAACTGAAGAGATAAGCACGGGGTGGGGGAAGTATTTTCCAATACATTTCTCCTCTTCAACACCATTTCACCCATCATACTCTCTATTATTAGAATTGGATTAAATTAGTCCAATTATTATTTTATAAATTCAAAGGATTTTTTTTGGATAAATCAATCAATTTTATATCCAAAAGAGTAGTAAACTGCTTCAAAACACAGAAAGTTCTTACATAAAAATATCATTACTTACAACACTATACAACAGAACAGAAACACCAATGTTCAATACCCCATTGATTACAAAGAGTATTATTGACATAGTCATTTCTATTTATTTCTCTACCCTTAAGTTGAATAGCAACAGAGTCTTTAATAGCAAGGAGTAAGGCATTAACATTTCTTGAGCGTCCTTGGTAAATTCTCTTGTTTCTCTCCTCCCAAATAATGTAAGTAAAAGTAGTCCAAGCTAGCTTCATAATAGCAGTGAGCAATGATTTTCCTTTCCATGAAGCACAAGCCCATGAAATGTGAGCATTCCATGAACATGTTCCTCTGCAAATGCCATTAAGATGCAGAACAGAGTTCCAAACAGAATTTGCCACAGAACAATGTAGAAACAAGTGGTCTCTAGTTTCAATCTCTTCATTACAAAGCACACAAATACCGTCAATGTTTAACCCTATTCGAATCAGCCTATTTTTGGTTGGTAATCTGTCAAGGAAAGCCATCCAAGTAATAATACTATACTTAGGGACATGAAGAGGAAACCAGAATAGTTTATGCCAAGTAACCTTGTCGTCTTTGTTACGGATGTGATGTCATATGTCCTTGATTGATTGAGTTCTAGAAGCAAAAATGGGGGCAGCCTGATTCCTCATACTTAGCAGTTTACGAAAGCTCCAACTTGTATGGATCCTAGCCTCCATAGTCCAAAAATCAGAGTTCTTGATAACATAAGTTTTGATCCAAACGATCCATAGCGAACCATCACCCGCAAGGATTTTTTTGATCAAGTGCAGTATACAAGTTTAATTCCAAGATTTTATGTCTTTTAGACTAAGACCCCCTTTAGATTTTGGGAGGCAAAGCTTATGTTATCAAGAACTCTGATCAAGAAAATCCTTGCGAACCATCACCCGCACAACCCATAGCGAATCATCACCCGCAAGGATTTTGATATTGAGATTTGAAATTTCTTTTTTGGCTGCAATTTTGTGTTTATATGTATGCATATTTATAGAGTCGGATGGGAAGGAAGCAAAAGGAAAGAAGGCAAAGGTAATTCTCGAAGCGGCGGCAAATAGTTGTTTTATTTCAGACGATGAACTGGTAGCTTTTGCCAAATCTGCAGGTTCAAGGTAGCACTGTTTCCAGATCGTCGAAGGAAAGGGGTGTGCGGCGGCAGGGAAGAAGAAAAGTACATTAAAAAAAAAAAGGTAATTTAGAACTTTGTCCCTAAATTATTTTAAATTTATAAATGGTCCCTAATTAGTATTTTATCTAAATTCCAGGAGTTAAAGTAAAAATTAAATCATTTTAATAATTTGACACGTTATCAAACTAACGGAATTTATCGTTTAATTGACCACATCTTAATTAAAATAAAACGAAAGTGACTATATATTATGTTTTTTTGAATCCAGTGACTATATAAATTCATAAAACTCAAATGAAAGTGACCAAATATATAATTTACCCTTTTTAATTTTGGATCATTTTGAAGAAAACACTCGAATTTGTATTTTTTTATAATCGCATGAGATATCGCTACAGGGAATGGGTAAGGCATGGCATTTAGATAATTTTGTATTTGTCATTATTGTAAAAAGTTGAATTCTCATTTTTCAATTTTCGAGTCTTTTTAACTGCTCCACTAACAGATCTAACTTCATATCACAGATATTTTTCCTTAATGAATGTCAAACCATGTCTTACAGATACTTGAATATATAAATATATTTATGTATAGTAGGAACAAAAAGAAAATAAATAGATCTCAGCCCCCATAAATAGAGATTGATTCAGACGGAGAAATTTTAATTATCAAATATTTTAAATATTATTTATATTTTATTTTGGTTCTTAAATTTTATAAGTTTTTTCCTTAAAATTTTAAAAATTCATCATTATAATATAAAATATTACGTCTATTCTTACCCATAAATATCGAGGTCAAGGTGATTAAGAAAAACTAACCTTGATGGAGTCTGGGAATTCGAAAGTAGTAAATAGAAGTATCTTTTTACACAATAACCTCTACATACATGAACGTTAAATACACACATAAAAAAAAGGAAAATATATTATAAGAAATATTATTATTGTAATCATTATTATTATAAAAGTATTCTATTTCTTTCAATTTATTTCTTCTAGATGATTTTATTTTTTCCTCCTAATATTTTTCTTGGTCAAACTAGTCATAATATAAAATATCCAAACTGAGGCAAATAAAATTCAGATCACGAATTCTTACGAACTCAGCTTACAGCATGCAGTATTACATTTACAACAATCAGTATGATTGTGAGACAGAATAACGCCTTGGATTCGTTGCACGAGGCAACTGAGGTAAGCCTGACATCTTCAATCTAAAAGGTGGCTCCCCGGGCACAAATGTAAGATTTTGTAGAACATAAAAAGAGAGCCAATCCAATGGCATTAAGTGCAGCAAGCAGCCAATAAAAGTAACAAGATGTGCCCTATTCAGATTATTTGCAAACCACCTATCTCGGCCTTCCCCACCGGTCATCTTCTCAATGGCTGAGATGAGAAAGCTACTCAAAGAGCTTCCAACACCAAAGATGCTAAGGTAGAGTGCAAGGCCCACACTCCTTCATTCCTTTGGCAACTGATCATAAAATAACTGTTGAAGACCAACAACCGTGAACACTTTGGACAATCTGAACAGTACGTATTCAGGGACCAACCACCACACACTCATCGGAACAGTGATTTGGCTTGTCTACCAACCCGTATTCTTGAGCAGATTTAAGCCTCCTCGTCTCCACTAAAGCAGCAGTTAACAGTGATGTGACAGATAAAAACATTCCAGGTCCAATTCTTTGAAGCGTTGTAATTCCAGCCAGTTTCCCGGTCAAGGCCCTGGCTAAAGGAACAAAAATGCGGTCATATATGGAGAGAATGACTGCAAGGGTAAGAAATGAAAGAAGTAAACCAGCAGGTATTTTAAACCCTGTTGCAATTGATCTGTCCATGGTAGCCCCTTGCTTGGTAAAGAAAGTCTATGCTTGTGCATACGCAACTGTATTAAATAAGTTTGGAGCCCATATTGGTACAAGCCTGTCTTCGCTTCTTCAACCTCACTGATGCTACACACCTTTACTTGTTCCTTTGAAACATCTGGAGCAAGCAAGGCTTTATTGAGGAACCTGCACATTAGAAAATCCACATTGCCAGTTAAGAGATATTTGTCATAGAACGGAAAATAGGAACATTATTTCACCAAAACAAGGGTAACAACTCAAATGGCTAACAAAAGTTGAAGTTCTGAACCTTATAATAGTTGGAAGAAGAAAAGAAATGAGCAAGAGGTCCTAATCAATTACAAAAGATGCATCAACCAAGGTGATTACAGATTGACAAAAGAAACTGCAATACCAGGACCTTTATGTGAATTAGTTCATACATATTTTGTAAAACAGAAATCATGGTGGCACTAAATTTTACAGGTCCTAACATGCACATATGCCGGGCTTACAGCCTTGTTTAGATGATACGGTAACTTATATCAGATGACATTAAAGCAGAAAAATGAATTTTCTGTTTGTCTCCTAAACAGTGTATAAGGCTGTAGATATTGATCTTCAGTAAAACTCACTTGAATTGCTTGAAACTTTCAGCTGGAAGACTTACTTGGGCCTCTTCGTCTCTGGCAATTGCTGAAGATTCTGTTTTCCGATTCCTGACAGCTAAAATGAACACTCCATCAATTCTCACAAATGGACTTTCTTCATTCCCTTTTATACAAAACCTGTAAGTCCTGTTCCAAACACAAAAACAACCAGTGCAACAACCATTACAATAGCGGATATCCCAAATCCAAGAATTCAACTAATGTTGTCTTGGATGTAGGGTAAAATCCAAGTGGTTAGGAATGTACCAGCACATATACAATAAAGAACGAACCCTGGGCTTTGCACTCCTCTGGATCTTGTTTATCAAACTGATCTGCACCAAAAGCTTGAACACACGGCTTGAACCCACCTTGTCCGAATGCTACTAGATACACTGAGAAGAAGAACATTATCGCTTGAAACCGAACAGAAGAACTTAATGTGACATTATCTGAGTTTTGATCACCAGAATTGCCCACAGAAATATGAGTGGCTGACATAATCAACAAGCCTAGACCCTGTAAGCCATTCCGAATCAATTCATCACGGAAAACATCTAGCAAGTACTCTAATCAATTACTAAAACAGTTAAAAATAACCTCGAACACCACTGCAGGACATGGCCTTCAATTAATTTTCATGTTCAAAGCTGCTGCTTCCCCATGGTTACCCCAATGATAAAAGCAAAGTCGAGCAACAGGATGCTCAAGTACAACTGTACAAGTAGATAGTATTGTTGTTTCCTCGGTCTTGAATTGTACTTCAAAGCTTTGTTTGAGCATGGCAAGCAACTTTACTATTTGAGAATCGTGGAGCTCATTCATTCATAATGGTTTATGAGTTCAAGTGAGCTTGAGGCAGGATTTCTGTACCCAAGCATAGATTCAACTCTTTGTTTCTGTTAATGAGTTTACAGTTTTTAAATACATAAGAAGCAATTAAACATATGCGGTATGGAAATAAGTTTGGATTAAAGATTTTCTTTTCTTTCGAAATGTTTTATTAGGCTCTTATACTTTAATTCGTTTATCTCGATAATGTTCAGAAAACAAATTCCATGGGAGTAGAAAGATTGCATTTTAATATGGTAAAAGTTATGTTTCACTAGAATTCCAGATGGCATTTGCAGTTTTAGTTAAAAGTGAAATGAAATAGACTAGCTTTCTATGTATATTATCTTATCCTTTTTAATTAAATTTCAGGGCAAATTACAAGATTTTTCACTTAAATTTCAGTTGTTTTCATTTTCATCATTAACTTTTAAAAATCTATATTTTAGTTAGTAACAGTTGGCTGCATGATATAATATGTTAACAAAAAATAATTTTTAATTTGATTTGTAAATTTACATATAAAAAAGAAGATTGATGGAATTAAGACATATCATGTCCAAATTCATTCGTAAAAAACCTTTTTTACTTTACGTTGAAGAAATGTTACAAAATCCCAACATCCTATAGAATATCTTTAGGTCCTACCCTACATGAGTATATATATTATTAAGTCACACCGGAGAAAGTATATCTTCTTTTATATCATAATCAACAACTGTTGAAGCTTAGGCGGTGGGCGAGGTAAACAAGATGCCAAGTGAGAGCAATTAGGGTAAGAACATTAAGAAGCGATGATTTTGCCTTTAGCTTCTTCAGCCTCTCATTCAGCCTACCGATGGTGGCTGCCGACGATGGGGATTCCATGCTTTTCATTGCTGCTTCGCTCGCCCTGCTTTCTTCCACAACAAAGCTCTCTCTTCCTCTTCGGTCTTCCTTCTCGATTCTCATCCTCTCCAACATAACCTAAATCATATAAGCTTCATTTTGATCACAATAGTAGATCGCGATTGTAGATGTAATGAATGCTCGTAACAAATGAATGAACTAGGATGCTAATGTTGCCTAAAATGTTACCTTTGTGGCTTTAGGCTCGAGATACAGTGCATTGACCAAAACCAAGAAAAAGGAACTCAAAAGATTGAACGCTTGAATCATCTCGGTATTGCTAGAGAATAGTGTTTTACCCTGCCCCAAAAGGTGCCCCAACAGGGCCAACCCAACGCTAAAACCCATAGCTTTGGAGTAAACAGGATGTATCTTGCTTTGCACCGCCCCAAATTGCTGTCTAGGTAGCACTTCAGCCAACACAGTGCTCGAAATGAACGTAACCCACACACACATCCCATAAGCCGAAGCTAATCCCAACAAGTTAGCAATACCCATCACCGGTTTCAACGCCTCGATTTCAGTCATGTACTTCACCCCATCGAATAACTTGTTTACGCTACTTCTAGCCGTTCTTTCTGTTTTCTCTATTGCCTCTGTACCATTGTTCACTATATGACACCGTCAAGTCTCAGCCGTGTCTTTCGCCGTTCCCATGGTGTCCTTTGCCCTTTCTTTAAGAGCTTGGCCCTTATGTGCTAATGCCTCTTTTGATTTGCCTGCTGTTTCTTTCACCTTATCTTTAGCTTCATTTATGGTCACTGAAACCTTGCCTTTGGCAAGGTCGAAGACAGAGGCGAATGTTTGAGTACATTTTCCAAAAGCATCACAGATAAGTTCCCCGGGTATGTGACCACCAAAGCCGGCTTTTCCTACCGGTGAAGTGCCTTGGCCAAGGTTGGGAAGCACAGAGGCAGCTTCTTTGAGAGCCTCCTTGCTAAAATATTCCACCGGTTTCGGTTGATGCCGTGGCGGCGGCGGAGGTGACGAGATAGAGACTTTGGTGCCACGTTGGCCACCTTTATCATATTCAACGACTACAACTGTATGCCCTTCTTTCCGTCTAACATCTTGCCTTTGTGGGGAAGGCGACCATATTCCAGCAGCTGTCAATGAAGTCGCTACAAGACTCAAGGCCAAAATGTTGATCATCTCTCTTTCTCTTCGAATCTTTGCCGTGGTTATGGGATGTTTTTTTTTGTTATGGAGATTTTAAGAATTGAAAGATATAATCCACGTTGCATGTAGCAAGCAATCGAGAAACCGACACGTTCGCACTGACTCGGCCACGTTGTTTTCTACGTGGCGGCAATTCAGGGCATCGTTGGACCTTTTAAACAACTTATCTTGTAAACATCAGAGAGTTCGAGAGCAGTCCCTCAGGCCTAAAGTATCGTTGGAAACGAAAGCTATAGAAGGTACCTTTAACCCCAGTGAGCAGCAGTGACGGTCGTCAATTAAAATTACAATTTTTTAGATATTATAAAATGGTTTTATATATACTGATATATATTTGAAGTGACTATCCATGAAAGTAGCATGGAATTTGAGTGAAATGTGAAGTTACCAAACTGTATTGTATTGTAGATGCAGAATTGGTTTAGGCTGAAGAGAGTGTCTGCCGAATTAATTTCTTGAGATCCGCAAGCCGTTGCGGATTGAAGCTGGCTGAATTTTCTGCAGTCACAGCCTAGCTTGTTGAAGAATCGGGTAAAAAAAGCAGAAGAACATAATAATTTTAACGAGGTTCAGCAATGTGCTTACGTACTCGGTGCCTAGGCGGCACTAGAAATTTTATTCAATATTTACAAAAATAACATGTACAAAAAATTTGAGCCATACCTGAATATTTATGAGTCATACCTTACATAACTGATACATGTAGTTTTGGGGAAGTAGAATTCTTGTTTCGATTTTTAAAATGGGGAGAGAGTCCTCATCTTTTTTAAGGACCTTTCTGTACAAGAAGATTACCCTAATTCAAATTCTATTTAAAATTTAAATTAGAGATAAATTAAGAATTTATCCTAAATTAACTAATAAATTATTTACAAATAATAAATAAATCTTATATGTGATTTACGGAACCTATAATAAATATTTGAATATTTTCCAATTTTATATTTTTCTTTCATAAGGAATGTCCAGATTGTTATATTGTAGTCATTTACGAATATATAAATCAGGGACGGAGATATAAATCAGGGAATGATACAAATTTTTATGTTAAAATGAGTAAAGATATACATTTTAAAGAAGAGATGAATTTATAAAATTTAAAGGACGAAAATAAATTTTTAATTAAAAAATAATAAAAATATATAAAAATTTAAAAGTTGTATAGAGACGACCGCCACCTCCTAAATTCATCTCTGATATGAATCTACAAACCACATTAAGATTTGTCACTCGTAAAGACCCCAAATGTCATTATAACCATAGAAAATGGATGTGAAGGTTTTTATTGGATGCCAGGATAAACATGTCGGGTGTGATTTGCAAGTTGACAAACTTCACAAAGAAATGAGTTGAAATTCAAAAAGGTTTGATTGAAAATTAGTCACAAAGTTCAAATTACGAGTGAGTTCTCTGATAAAAATCATATTGCAACCTAATTTTGGAACATAAAGGATAGATGAGAGAAGAAGGCTATTTATCAATTTAATGGATCTGATTTCTTCCACTTTTGAGAGTGATCCATATGCTATTCAGACTGTAGAGAGGCTTGATTGAGGGATGAACGTGTGAAAAATATTAATATCTCCAGTAATGTGATTTGAAGCTCTAAAATCAACTATCCAAGACTTAACTTGCTAGTTTGTATAATATCTGCAGAAGAAGAAAAAATACATTGATGTGCTAGCATGTTAGTATGTTGTTCAAAGGAGGGTGACAGTTTCCCAAATAGCTTTTGTAATACTTTTGCTCTTTAGTGAATGGATTGTATTAGGTGTTGGTGTTGAAAACATTAGCCACATGTCCCTGACTTGGCGTGCTTTGGGTAGGTCTTCAATCAGTAGGTTTTCCATGTTATACTAGGGCTACGAATCTAACTTTGACGCATGTTATTTTTGGTGAAAAAAGAGTTTTTTTATATCATTATGTGGCAGAACATAACTAGAATCCCAAGATTATTAGGTTTCTTGTTTCCTAAGACTTAAATTTTATTTTCATTGTACAGCGGAGAAGAAAATTTTGAAATTGAACCCTGATTAACAACCTTTTTCTTCTCTTGCAACTACCACGGCAGCAAATAAAGGCCCTCCTTGAAAATATTGGTTCCTCCTGTTCTGATAAATTATTCATGTAGAAATCAGTAGAGAACGTGTATCTCTCTTGTATTTTATTAATCAGTAGAGAGAGGTATATATACAAATATAATATTGCTAAACTAGGTAACATAATATATTACATTGAATATAATTTTAATTAGCCTAAGAATCTAAGAATCAACATATGAATCTGTAACAATTCAGAATGGTACAATACACATTCAAGATACGCATAGAGACTTGTACTTCTAATTTTTCCCCAAGCTCATGCTGCTGATATTCAACAGCTAAGTTGCAGGGTTTGGCTACTCTTTGTTCTTCTTTTCTGTCACATGTATAGCTTGTGACCAATGTGTCTTCCCTCCCTCTGCACTCCTATCTACCATGTGAAAGAACAGCAAAAAGCTGTTACCACCCTTGTTAAGAAACCAACTCGGCTGAAATTGTGGCAGCAAGCACTTTCGTTGAGCATCCAATTTAGCCTTCTTTCTTCATTCAAATTTACCTTTTAAGTCGTGTTTTCAAATGAGAAAAACATTTCCCCGCTACATTCAAAAGTTATCGTAATTTCCACAAAGTCGAATGAATATAAGTGATAACCTGTTCTATAAAATGGTCATCCATGTCCTAAGCTTCGAGCAAAACCTGGCAGCTGTTCTTATTTATGGAGTCATTCGCTTCATTTCTTTCGTTTTAGTTCTCTGTGTGGTTGCATTTTGGTTATTAAAGACATGTATCTCTTTGGTTAAAACTAATTAATTCTGCTTTTGATTTATGGATTATCTATGCTTCTTCCAGATGGCATAGATTTGGGACCAAGTTCGAAGGAAATTTTTACTGCAAATAGATCAGATGGAGACATGAAATTCTCCTTAGGAAATGTTTTACTTTGTCTTGTTATTTTTAATTTTTTTTACTAATAAAATTGTCAGTTAGGGTCTTCTTTTCAATCGCAAATATATTTCTTTTCTTGAGAGATTGCCATTTAGACCGGTATGATTTACATTCAAGAAATGCAGACGATTATGTTCTTTCAAAATTTTTGCAAGCTAAGTTGCAGGTTAGGCTACTCTCCGTTCACTTCTTCCATGAGTACAGCTTGTGCTTATAAAAGCTGCCTGAAATTGAACTCTGGATACCTCAAAAATTTTACTGCATGATTTGTCAACTTTATAAATTTAGTGACTTGATCCAATAGTCATAAATCTACAACGCAAACCAAGAAACCTTATCTAAATTATGTCTATCCTCCCTCCATGCTCTAATTATGCATCTATGTTAAATTGCAGCAAAATGTAGTTACCATCTTTGTTTGTGAACAAACACAGCTGAAACAGAAACCCTGTGGTGGTAGAGCTAGCATTCCCTCTGAGTAGGCCAAATTTTTTTCTTAAGTTTGGTTTAAAGTCATGTTTACATAACTTGAATTTTTTGTTAAACCAGGAAATGATTCGTTGGATAAGACAGAAGGGTCATCGGTTTGCATTCAAATGCCATCACAACTTAAGTAATCATTTCCTAGAGACTCTCCTTCTTTACGGCCACCTTTTATATGTTATTTTGCATAAGAACTTGAAATTAATGTTCTATTGCAATGTTTAAGGCACAAACCAGAACTGCGGCGTCTTTTTTGAGGTAAAACTGATTCATCTATATACCTACTACTGTCGAATTTTAGATATAGATTCCTATTGAGTATTAGGAACATGTAACCCCAAAGTTACAAACATATAATTAAACAGTCATTTTGAATTCTATATTTTTTTAGTATTTTGATCCTCCAACGTTTTACTTTTAAGGTAAAAAAAATCTCTTGGTGGATGGAAATGTCAACAAATACTCAACGCTTCAAAATAAGGGTCTTTTTATTCTAAAATAAAATATTGAGAGTCAAAATGATCTAAAAAAGAATATGTCTTTAAGTGACTAGTTAATCAAATACTGATTGACTTTTTGACATGAAGTGAAACGTTGGAGATCAAAATGCTCCAAATTAAAGAATAAGGGTCAAAATGATTTATTTCATCACACGTTAGTACTAAAATTGAGTTGAATATTATTGTGATTTTTTGAAGCATCTTCTTGTCTCTGTTTTTGGTGAGCTTTTCCTTCTGGTACTAATATGGTTCTTCTTGAATCATCATATTCCTCGGGTTGTCGATTCCTTTGCTTCAAGTGAAAGAGAAATCAAGCTTGTTGAAACTTAAATATTAATGAGCTTCTTCAGAACGTTATTTAAGTTAAATTAATAAGTAGAATGTTAAATGATAAAAACATTTATTAAATACAAGAGTTGGATAATTCCATTTACATGCATTGAGACTATATTAACAAAGATTTCAATGGTTAAAAAATTTCGATGTGGAAAAAGAGAGCTGAAATGATTGTTTTCTTTTAGTCTTTTTTCAGAACAACGATGAATATTCCAACCCCATGTGCTCTCCACTTTATTTGTACTTGGTTGTGGCATGAAAGGGGGTATATGCTTGATTTTGTTCAAGAATCAAAATATCTAACTCCAATCCAATACGATAAAAGTAAAATATTTTTGTTAGCAATCTATAAAACAATTTTACAATTGTGAAATATTAATTATGAATTTGAGATTAGATATTCTAAGATTGATATTTAAGAAAAAATATTCGATATGCAAATTATATAAATAAAATTTATATAAATTTATTTATTTTAAGGGTAAAGTACACAAATGGTTTATTAATTTACTATACGGAATTGCTTTATTGAATCTCTTACTATTAAAAGTTACAAAACGGTCTCTGATTATAGAGCGTTATTTTATTGATTCTCCTTACTGTTAAAAGTTACAAACTAGCCACCCGACTGCTCATATGTTTCAAATTTATCATTTTCCATTAAAAATTGACGTCGTTTGAGCTAGACGTTAACCTATTAATTGAGATATGATAAAATTATATTTTAATGATGTTTTTTGACACGTCACTACTTTCAAGTTCTGGCTAGACGGTATAATGTTTCAAACACTAACTCGATGGCATGATGTAAATAGACATTCGATCCGTAAAATACAGTTTAAATAGTTTTGAGATAAGATTTTACCACATCATAGTAAGCAGGTTAACGTTCAACTCAAGTGATAATCATTTTGACTATTTTAGTAACTTTTAATAGTTGATAGACTTAATAAAGTAACGTCTTATAGTCAATAGATCATTTTGTAACTTTCAATAGTGAAGACTCCATAAAGTAACATCCTATAATCAGGGACTATTTATATATTTTACCTTTATTTTAGTGAAATGTGTTCTATTTAAAAATTTAGGGTTAATTGTTTAAAAATATGATTTAAAAGTTTAAGTTAGATTTGAGGTTTAGACTTTAGACTTAAAATATTAAAATTCAAATAATTATGAATTTTATATAACATATGTGTCAAATATTGAATCTAATAAATTTAAGATTCTAAATTTAACTTGTATAAAATTTTATGCCATAACGTGCTTTGAAAGTATAATTTGATGGAAGGTAAAATCTAACGAAGGAAAAAATTTGAGTAATATTAATTAAAATATATTTAATAATGATACAAATTTCTAATATTTTAATCTAAATTTTATTTTAAAATAATATTAAATAAATTGAAGCAAACAAATATCAAGCAATCCATGAAATAAATGTAGTGGAAGAAAAAGAATAAAAAAGGTAGGATGTGCCTTTCCATTCCATGTGGGTTTGTTGAAACAAACAAAATATACAGAATACGTGACGAAGCAAACACATGGCCCCTTAACCCTTTGTGCATTTATTTTTCATTTATTATTATTATTATTATTATTATTATTATTATTATTGTTATTGTTATTATTATTAATGCTGCTGTTGTTGTTGGTTTAGACATAAAGGTTTGACAACACTTTCCACCCACCTCAGTATTTAAAGAAAATATAAGAATTAGCAATTAACAAATTATCTTGTAGATGTGGGTTGATTTAGGATATTAAATGTTATTTGTATTTCTTGTGTTTATAATTTTGAACAAAATATATTATATAAATAATTGTGTAATTATTAACAGTTTGGTCGTACAATTATCAAAAGTTATTAAATAATTACTTGATTTATTGATTATTTTTTATTTATTTAAGTTAAGTTTTTATTTTATCAGTTTGTAGTGATTACAAGATAATATTTATTCTAAAGATTCTCAATCATTTGACAATGAACATTTAAACACTATTGCATACGATATATTTGAATTTGGAATCTCTAAAGATAAATTTAAAATTTCTAAAGATAATAGTCGTCCTTTAACTACTAAGATCTTTTAATTTGTGTCATTTATATTAAGTGGGTAACATTTTTTATTTGTTTATCAAAATATACAATTTTAATATTTTTTAACTTTAGCATTAAAACCGTGAAAATTAGAGTTTATTGAAAAAACAATTTCAATATTAAATAAACTATTTTTTTGTATGAAAAATGGATAGTCAAAAAGGGTATTAAATTTGGGTGGAAATAGCTTTGGGCTATAGTACCAACTTTGTTCATAGATGGTTAAATAATGGGATGGAGACTACTTTTTAAAAAGTTAGCGGAGCCACTGGTGTTGGAAAACTTATCTTTAATAATAATAATAATGCAACCAAACAAGGCATTAATAATTAAATAAATAAACCCCCAAAAAGTGAAGCCATATTGTTAAATTGCAATCAACTTCCCATTATGGGAAGTATTAATACCTTAGCCTTGAACGTAGCTCTATTTAATTAATTATTTTACCAAATCACCCATATTAATACCTTATGCTTAAAAGGGAGTTTTTTATATCGAAAATAATTTAGGAAGACCAAATTTGAATTATAATTTCGGGCTTAAAATATTAATTTAAAATTTCATTTTTTTAAGGGATTAGAAGATAATTTTTCTCATTTTGTAGGCTAAAGTCACAGCATATCCCCTATATTCGCTCTTGCTTATGATGTAGCAATGTGTAATGCAATATTGGATTAAAAAAAATCAAAATTTTGTTTTTTTATTTTATTTTTTCTCATAAAATTAGATTATGTGTCAACTAAATCTTAATAACACGAGATTAGATGTCCAAAGTTTAAACAAAGGGTACAAGTAGCAGCCTTGCCCCCCTTGATTAAATTATTCTTTTAATCCATCACAAATATTATCAATATAATTTAAATATTTTATTTTTTTATTATATGAAAAAAATTTACCCCTCCTATTAATTAATTATTTAACTTTATTCTTTTATTTTTTTTAATTTAAACACCTTTCAAAAATTTATAATTTTAACTCAATTTTCTTACACAATTTATAATTTCGTTCTATTTTTAAAATAATATGGACTCTGAAGTAATTATAAGGTAATATATATTCATAATTTTTTCTAATCATTGATAATATATACGAAATCTGCAAACGCAACTGCTCGAATTAAGATTTCAGGAGAATACAATACCCTATTTTAGAGGTGAGCAAAACTCGACTCGTCTCGAAAAATTAAACTTTTTTAAATTTTGAATTATTCGAGTTATTCGAATCAACTCGAATTATCAATTCGGTTTTCGAGTTGAGTAGAGTTGAACTTTCAAAATTTCGAGTTACTCAAAAAAATGAAAATTTGGATGAAAATTTTGATATATTTACGATTTGGTCCCTGATTTCATATTCCTTCAATTTCTCATTTATTTTAACTCAAATTTTCACCAAATTTAAACCACGTGCCCCTAAATCATAAGAGAATATATATGTACTTTCACTTTTACTTTGATAGTTGATTTTGTATTTTTTTAATTTAGTCCCTTAATTTTATATGATTTCTGTATTTCTTCAATTCATCATTCATTTTAAGTACGTTTTTTACCAAATTTAAACCACATGCTCCTCTACCACTGTAGAATACCTATGTAACTTCAATTCTTTTTTTTTACTAAAAATATACTCTCTCTTTTTAATTTAGTCATTTAACTTTGCATTTTACTCAATTTAATATTTTGACTACAATTGTTTACAAATTATTTCTTCACATAAATTCTTTGACTCATTTATACTCTCATTAATCATTTATACTCCCATTAATATTTTATCCTTAAAACACCTCATTTGAATTATATTGTTGTAAATATATTCTATAATTTTAGATTGTGTGTGATATATTAAATATCATTGTAATGTGAAAAGAATATGAAGAAATATATATATCTTATATGGTTAGAGAAAGTCGAAAAATTGGAATAAATCCGTACTATAATACTATAAATAATTACAATTAAATTTGTATAGAAACTCAAACAACTCGACTCAAATTTCTTAAACTCGACTCGACTCAAAAAAGTTTCAAGTCAACTTCGAGTTGTAAAATTCGAGTCATCAACTCGAATAACTCGAAATTTTTTGATACGACTCGTTCGAATACTCACCCCTAGTCCATTTAACTACCGAAATCACTCAATAATTTCATATTTTGTTCTTAAATATATAAAGACGTTGAAAATATAAATCCTTTATTACCACATAAATGACTGATTGATTGTATCTTTAATTGGTGCATGCTAAAATTATACATCAATTGTGTGGACGGGTGTAGATTTGCAATTACTCTTAATAAAATGAACACCACGTCACTTTTTAAGTTGATGGTTAGGATAGACACATAATATACCTATCTTTTTCTAAAACTGCTTTCTTTTTTAATAAAAATAATTTTAAAAATATCTTATCTGAAAAAACAAAATTTATCAAACAAAACATTAATTAATTATCCTTGTATATAATTTTTCAATGATATATTCAAATCACATATTTTAATTTTGAAAAGGGAAGCATACTTTAGGTGTGGATTGGAATCTTCCAATGCAAAAGACAATCGGAAGTGAGTTAACTCGTGCGTAAGCATTCGATTAGTTGGGTACGTCCCTTTTATGTATTTCGATAATCGATTCAATTAATTTGATTAGATCGACTTAACTCGATTGGTTTGGTGATTAATCCGTTTTAACAATATTTATGTTTATTTTTTTAATAGAACCATATTTAAAAATTACCTGCTATCATATTAAAATTATTGCATATCATATGATATATTATAATACAAAGGATATACTGCAACGTTTTAAGTTATTATATAAATATGTTTCATTAATAATATATAAAATTTATCAATTTTAAAAGTTACGTTTATGTGTTCTCTATAGATGGATTTTACCGTCATTTAGTGAATAATGACTCTACTTGATATTTGTTTAAATGATACTCTATAATGATTAATTCTATTTGTTATGACAAAAAAATATAAGAGAGGGAGTGATTTAAGAGGCAAAAGCAGAATTATGAGATTGGTGACTTTTGAAAGCAAGGACCTGGCTGTATGAAAAGTAAACTACCCCGTTGCTTTTATGAACAACAAATCTTTTATTGGTATTCAATTTTCATCCACGACAGCCACGGTTCTGTAATACCGACACACCCACAAGTTAATTATATAAAAAAGAAAAAACAGAAGAAGAAAAAGGTTTCTTCTCTACCACCTAAACTTTATCTGAATATGATGTAGGTGTAGATGAAAAAACTGCATATACTGCCATAAGCAAAAGATTAAGAAACAAGTGAGGGCACCAGAAATCTCCCTGTTATGTGACCCACCTCACGCTCCACCAAACGCCCCATTCCCCCCTTTTTCTCTCCCTTCTACACATGTTTATGTCTTTATACAATATGAACATCTCATCATCTCCTTCTTTGCTTCTACTCTTCTCTTTCCCTTCGTTTCCATAATTATTGCAACCCAAATTTAAACCATGAGTAAGCTTGTTGTTGAAGTGGCTGGGGCCTTTGATTTGATGCCCAAAGACGAGCAGGGTTCTTCAAGCCCCTTTGTGGAAGTTGGTTTCGACGGACAACGTCAGAGGACTCAGACCAAGCACAAAGATCTTGACCCTTCTTGGAATGAAAAGCTTGTTTTCGATATAAAGAATCCCGCTGATCTTGATTTCAAGACCATTGATGTGACTGTTTACAATGACAGACAAGGCAACCGTGGTCACCACCTCAACTTTCTCGGCCGTGTCAAGATTTCCGGCGGTTCGGTTCCGTCTTCGGAGTCCGGTTCCAGTGTGCAACACTATCCGCTTGATAAACGTGGCCTTTTTTCCAACATCAAAGGTGAGGTTGCATTGAAACTTTATGCCGTGCATGGTGGAGTTCCTCAAGAGCCAGTAGTACAACAACGTGCAGTTCCTTCTAGTGTTGTTGCTGAAAATGTTGAAACCGGGCGTTTTGAAGAACCCGAATTCCAGAAAACTCCGTTTGAGGAGATCAACACTAACAGTTTTCATGAAGAGGTCGAGGTAGAAAAAAAGGAGGAGAAGAAAAAGAAGAAAGAAAAAGAAGTGAGGACTTTTCACTCTATAGGGACTGGAGCTGGAGGTCCGCCTCCAATGAAGGAAAAGCCACCGGTGGTGGAGATTAGAGCAGATTTTGCTAAAGCAGCAGCGCCGGCTGCTGGTGTAATGCATATGCAGATGCCAAGGCAGAATCCGGAGTACATGTTGGTGGAAACTAGCCCGCCCGTGGCGGCGCGTTTGCGGTACCGGGGCGGTGACAAGACATCGACTACTTATGATTTGGTAGAGCAGATGCATTACCTGTATGTAAATGTGGTTAAGGCAAAGGATCTTCCTGTTATGGATATTTCAGGGAGCCTTGATCCTTATGTGGAAGTGAAGCTTGGGAACTACAAAGGGCAAACAAAACACTTGGAGAAGAATCAGAACCCTGTATGGCACCAAATCTTCGCTTTCTCAAAGGAAAGGGTGCAATCAAACTTGCTTGAAGTTGTTGTGAAAGATAAGGATTTTGGGAAGGATGATTTTGTTGGGAAAGTTGTGTTTGATGTTATGGAAATCCCACTTCGGGTTCCGCCAGATAGTCCACTGGCACCCCAATGGTACAGATTGGCAGATAAGAGACGTGACAAAATTAAAGGGGAAATTATGTTGGCAGTTTGGATGGGAACACAAGCTGATGAGTCCTTTCCCGAGGCATGGCATTCGGATGCTCACAACATTAGCCACTCGAACTTGGCTAATACGCGGTCAAAGGTTTACTTCTCCCCCAAGCTGTATTACCTTCGAGTTCATGTCATGGAAGCTCAAGACCTCGTCCCGCACGACAAGGGCCGGCTTCCAGATCCATATGTTAAAGTAATTGTCGGGAATCAGATTAGACCTACGAAGGTACAACAGCGAACCATTCATCCAGTTTGGGATGATCAGCTTATGTTTGTTGCCTCTGAGCCTTTCGAAGACTACATAACCGTATCAGTTGAGGATAGGATTGGACCTGGTAAAGATGAGATTTTAGGGAAGGCAATGATTCCACTTCGACAGGTGCCTCAGAGATTAGAAACCGGTAAGCCGCCAGATCCTCGGTGGCTTAATCTGCTAAAGCATTCAAAGGCAGAAGAGGAGGGTGAGAAGAAGAAAGAAAAATTCTCAAGCAAGATATTGTTGCGGTTTTTTCTCGAGGCAGGGTACCATGTTCTTGATGAATCTGCACATTTTAGCAGTGATCTTCAGCCATCATCGAAATACCTAAGGAAGTCGAGCATTGGGATTCTGGAACTCGGGATTTTGAGTGCAAGGAATTTGCTGCCTATGAAGATGAAGGAAGGTAAGATGACTGATGCATACTGTGTGGCAAAGTACGGGAACAAATGGGTGAGGACTAGAACTCTTCTTGATACGTTGACTCCGAGATGGAACGAACAGTATACTTGGGAGGTCCATGATCCCTGTACAGTGATCACAATTGGAGTGTTCGACAATGCCCACACCAACGGAAGCAAAGATGATGCAAGGGATCAAAAAATTGGGAAAATGAGAATTCGGCTATCGACTCTCGAAATTGATCGTGTTTATACACATTATTATCCTTTATTGGTTCTTACACCTTCTGGATTGAAGAAGCACGGGGAGCTTCAGTTGGCATTAAGGTTCACTTGCACTGCTTGGGTTAACATGGTGGCTCAATATGGAAGGCCATTGCTTCCCAAGATGCACTATGTCAATCCTATACCAGTTATGAACGTAGACTGGCTGCGCCACCAAGCAATGCAGATTGTGGCGGCAAGATTGCAAAGGGCAGAGCCGCCACTGAGGCGTGAGGTGGTCGAGTACATGTTGGATGTTGATTACCACATGTGGAGTCTCAGGAGAAGCAAAGCCAATTTCCACCGCATAATGTCAGTTCTTTCAGGGGTTACTGCTGTTTGCAAGTGGTTCAACGGCATCTGCTACTGGAGAAACCCAATCACAACATGTCTAGTGCATGTTTTATTCTTGATACTTGTTTGCTACCCAGAACTTATATTACCCACAATTTTCCTCTACCTGTTTGTGATCGGGATATGGAACTACCGGTTCAGACCGAGACATCCCCCGCATATGGATGCACGGCTTTCGCAAGCAGATAATGCACACCCTGATGAGCTAGATGAAGAATTCGACACATTTCCGACATCTAGACCATCAGATATTGTACGAATGAGGTACGATCGGCTGCGAAGCGTTGCCGGTAGGGTACAAACGGTGGTTGGAGATCTCGCAAGCCAAGGGGAAAGGGCTCAGGCAATACTAAGCTGGCGTGACCCAAGAGCAACAGCAATCTTCATCATCTTGTCCTTGATCTGGGCAGTGTTCATTTATGTTACTCCATTCCAAGTGGTGGCCGTTTTGTTTGGTCTCTACTGGCTGCGCCATCCTCGCTTCAGGAGCAAGCTGCCATCGGTGCCTGTCAACTTCTTCAAAAGATTACCATCCAAGTCAGACATGCTAATATGAGAAATTAAGGGAATTTCCATCATATTATTATTCGTTTAATCAGCAAGTGAATAAAGGGGATTTGGTAGATAACTTTCAACAGATTATCATACCAGAAGATGAGGGAGAGAAAAGCAATCCATTACCCCATTACTGAATCTCACTTTTCTAGCTTCAGATTTGCGCTTTCTAAGCTTTCTTCATATTCATCTATGGAACCCACAATTCTTTTCACCTGCTGCTTCATGAAATGTAATCTAAATATGTCCACAAGGGAGCCGAAAATGAGTAAAAAAGGTAAATGGAATTGTAGGTCAGTGCCGGCAAGTTTTACAACTACTTTATTTATATTTATAGGATAAAAATGTTTATATAATAAAAATAAGTTGAACAATATTCTGCAAATCTCTCAATCTCATTGGCACCTGTGTTAAAAAGTACAACAAAGAAAAGGTAATTCTGACATTGGAAATCTTCCAAACCAAAAAGAGAATAACAGTAAAAGGACAAAATTCATTTTGATGGTAAAGTCCTAAATTCTAGATGCATTATTGCTGCAACAATCATTAACAAGCTGACAAAGATTCCAACAAGAAGAGCTCTATCAATTATGCCCCAGCCCCCCAGGGCCCATTCCTGCTTGTTCTTTAGCCCCATGGCAATGTGATTCTCCACCTTTTTATGCTCATGGTTCTTTCGCTTCCTTAGTAACCAGTGAATTGGATTTTTGCTGCCTCGATTTTCCATCAAACTATCATTCTTGGAAACTGCATATTCTTCCGATCTAATCTGTCCTCCACAAATGTCTAGTCCACAAGAGCATGGTTCTGACTCCTTAGAGCATGCGCAACTCTCATACTTATCGGAGCAAGGAGGCAGTTTCTCTTGAGTAGCAACATTCTCTGGAGCCATTTTCACATTTACTTGAGTGAGAGTCTCGATCACTTCCCCAAACACTGACCATCTTCCCACGGATGTTATCTTCACCATAGCTGAAGAACCCAAAATACTTTCAGGAGCAATTATGAGAACCTGCACATATCCCTTCGTATGGCCAACCTTGGGACAATCAAGAGAATACGAGTTACTCGTTAGCACACACTAGATAAAGCCTTTTGATAAAGTGACAAGTTGTAACTAGAATATCCAATAAAAGGTTGAAGCATAAAGTGGTTTCTAATAATAGAACATAAAGCAAACACAAGGTAGATATTAGGTGGCACTGAAAATTGCATTTAGATTAATTCCTGGCACATGCAATGTCAAGTACCAATTTGAAATATGCATTATATCAGTAGACCATGAAATGGTTTTGAACAAAGAACTTGAACTAGCTTCAAATTGTTGTGGAAGAGAGTCAAATAGAGATGATTGACAACACTTGCAGACTTTCAAAAGAGAAGTAAAGGAGAAATTCCCACGTTGCATTTCAAACCTAGAAGAAAAACAGAAAAAAAATTGAATGCAGAGTAAATCAACTAAACAATGAACTGGCTTTCAAGGGGCAGTTATTTTCTAACAAAAAACAAGGAAGAAATCAAGTTCATCAGAGAGCAAGATACCAGGACTACAAACACATTAATAAGCCATCGCAAAAGTAGCCCAACAGCAGGGTTTTAGTCCACAAACATCAGAGAATAAATCTAGTTTAAGCTGAAATCTAGTTGCCTAACTAAGGCCACTTCATAGGAAAAAAAGGAAGCATACAGAAATTGTGCAAAAGTTAATTTTACCAGTAGCAGATCGTCTTACCAAATGAATTCCATCAGTTGCAATTTCAGTAATCCAAATTCTTTCAACTCTGTCTTCCATTCCATTGTACGGCGTAAATGCTTCAAAAACAGAAGTTAATTCACGGCTCCAATTCTTCACTATAGTGCTTGGGACCTTTTTCATCCTTGCAGCAGGAGTTCCTAGTTTTAGAAAGATCATACATAAGAACTTCTCAGCTTACTATAGCTAGGAACAAACAAATGAACAGTATTTCAGCCAAGCAAAATAACAAGCATAGTTCAACAGATGAAATTTTCAATGAAGTTAAGTGATGTCTTTTTATCTCACCTTTTTGGGTTCATACATAAAGACCAAAGCAACAAATATACCATTTCTAAAGAATATGTATCAGTCAAATACAGCTAAATACTGCAAAATTTTATCAGCACAGCTAAATAGGGGGCTAATAATTTTTTAGCTCTGTACTACAGATATTATAGTTCTCTTACAAATATTTTTGCAACCAATAGGTCAATTTATTAACCTTAAATCAGTTTGTACTACATAATTTTTATTCCTAGCATTTGGATGATTTATCATCAATATCTCACAAAAGAAAATACTGTGGGATGACCCCAACCATAATATAAGACCAACAGAAACCTAAAACGTAAGGGGGATGACCCCACTAAACAAAAATCAAGAAATTCAAACAGCTGACATGGAGATTGAAAAACATTTTCGAAACTAAACAAGCCCTAGTAATCTTGTATTTCTCACCTTCTATCCTTGTAGCTGCTAGAGGGCATATAGCCTTTGAAATATTTTTTTTTTCCAATTTTAAATTAGTCATCAAGGATTTGTTTGTCGATGTGTTCTAGTAAACAAAAGAAGATGACAAAGACATTGCAACATGGCCTAATGATTGCTACAAGAGTACAAGTCCTTAAATGGATGCTTAAGTAGATATGTATGAATATCCAGGAATTCATGAGCTCCAACGAAAAATAGCAAAACATGCCTTGCATGTGGCTCTGATTGATAATAGGTAAACAAAAGAAAGATTAAGTTTTTAACAAAATAAATTCAATGAGAGAGAGAGTAGAGAATCATATCAAAGGAATTGCAGTAATAACAAAAACATACCAGGTCTAGGATAGAACTGCGATATATGAACTTGTGGGAACTTGTATTCCTTAATAAGTTTTACTGTTTGAGCAAAATCTTCATCAGTTTCACCTGAAATGACAAAAAATGATTATAATTGAATCAAAAACTAAGAGTAAATGTCAAATAAGATACTCCATATTTGTGATGGAATAGAATTTTCTCCCATAAGACTGACTTGGGAGACATGGTAGCCAATTTGGGCCCAGATTTTGAAACTTCCCTAACCTAATCCCGTTGTAATGGAGTAGATCAGTCCATTGGCTAGTTGCTCACCCATGCCGCAAGCTTCATCCTCTTTCAGGTAAGATCTTAAATTGCAAGCCCGAGCTCAAGTGATTATTTTATTAAATGGACAATTTCATTTAGTTTAATTTTAATTTAAATATATATTTAAATTTAACTACTAATATAATATTATTTTGTACTATTTTAACAATAAAACTTCATTTTCCTGAGTTACCAGGATCAGCACTCCAAGGTTTGTGACCAGTTAAACCAGGAACCCGCAGACTGTCCAGTCAAAACAGCAAACTGGTTTGATTATTATTATTATTATTATTATTATTATGGGTAATTGATGATATTTGAACCTGTAAACTCTTAATTTTATATAAAAAATCATATTATTAAGCCAAATAAAAAAATTATTAATTATTTACTACAGTTAATATTTATTTAACATTAAAATCATATTTTTATTATTAAATTTTCCTTCAAAGTAAACCAATTCCTGCAGGTTGAACCAAATTGTATTGAGAACTGGAAGCATTACTGGTTAGATTAATCTTGTTTTCTGTATTTAATTTTTTACCTTATTTAAAGCCAGATATGGAAAATGGAGAACATTTTTTAAAAATATAAATGTCTTATGGCGCAGACTAAAAGATATATATCTATGCGCATCAAGGATGATGGAGAAAAGGAGACAACTTAATCTGCATACTAACCAGGAAATCCGCATATTATATCAGTTGCAATCTGCATGCCTGGCACGAGTTCAGTCAAGGTATCTACCACAGCCCTAAACTCGCTCACAGTATATTCCCGATTCATGGCCTACAATAAAAAATAATAATTAGTTAGACAATTATAATTTAGCATATATTTAAGGACATTTACCTACATTAAGTACAATTTTTTATTTATTTGTTTTAGTTACCAAATAACAACTTAAAGCCATAACCAAGATAAAGACATGTTATATGACCAAATTTTGAACTTACAGTCAAGACAGCATCACTGCCAGATTGAACTGGAACATGAAGAAAGGAATATACACAAGGATGACGCAAAACAGCTGCTATCTCTTTCAGATGCTTCAAGATAAAAGGAGGATTAGTCATCCCAATTCGTAGCATAGTGCTCCCATCAGGAGGAAGTTCCGCAACAATGGCATTCAACAAAATTGGTAGGTTAACCCCAATGTCACGACCTACAAGACGCAAGACATATAAGAACAATTTCAATATATGTATTCATATATATATATATATATATATATATATATGCAACAGTTGATCTTTATAAATATATGCACGTATTTGGAAATTTCAACAATATTTTTTTTTTGATAGGAAAGAAAGGCCTCGTTAAAACCCCCCTTCTTAACTAAGAACCTTATAGAAAGGTCATTAATCATAGGAAGGAGGGAAAGAGTGCCTTGGAACTTTTATAAATAATGAAAGTTACATAATAGTAAAAAATAACACTAAATTGCTAGACATAAGACTGAAACACTCCTCCCGTCATAAAACCTACACCCAAAATTACGAAAATCATAAAAAGACCCTTACAATCACCCAATCCCTTTCTTAGCTAAGATATCTGCCTCTCCATTACACACCCTAGGAATCAACCTAACTGAATGAACCTTATCACTAATAAGCCTTGAAATCTGGAAAACAATAGGCATGAAAAAAATAGGTGCCAGAACCGGAGAATGAATCCATTCCACTGCAGACGAGCAATCACTTTCGACGATCAACCTAGCTACCGAAGCCCACCTAGAAGACAGAAAAATATCCAAGCCTCTTAATAAACCTCCAATACCTCCACCCGAATCAATCTGCCTAACGGCTCCATCTACATTCATCTTTAGGAAGTCAACTGGTGGGGGTAACCAGCGCAAAACAACACTATCAATAACATTACTAGAAGAAACACCATCTGCTAGAGATGGATTACCAATCAGCACATCCTCATGTATAGTTATACCCGGAAATTTGGCTAGGAACCATTTAACAATCCTGAATCTAACAATGAAGAATAGTGACACTTTGTCAATAGGAGTTCCTTCGAAAACCCTTGCGTTCCTAAATTTCCAAACAGACCAAAAGATGGCTCCCGGAATAAACTTCCAAATCGTAGATTTCGCCCTCAACTCGTTCCAGGAACAAAGAAGAGAAGGAGGATCCTGAGGTAGAACCATGGCAATATCCCAGAAATTAGCTACCTTATTCCATAATTCCCAAACCACCGTACAAGAGATGAATAGATGCTGCACAGATTCCTCCTGATTCTTACAATAGGGACACAGAATATCATCCCCTAGGGGTATACCTCTCTTGACCAACTCGACTTTGACAGCTAATTTCTGATGAGCAAGTTGCCAAAGAAAAGCTTCCACCCGAGGTGGTGCAAAGCCTTGCCAAACCCCTTTCGACCACACTGCAGTACCCCCAGACGTAATACCGAGAGTATTCCTACAAGATTTAACTGAGAACAATCCATCTCCACTAGCAGTCCACGATAAAAAATCATCCACAAGTTCTGAAAGTTGAATATCCTTCAACTTAGACATCAACTCCAACCATTGGACCAATTCCCAATCACACAAATTTCTCCTGGTCTGAACAGTCCACACCCAACCACTCGATTCGAAGCTGCCAAACTCCTCAACTTTCCCCTCTTTAATAGGGGAAAGCACAAAAATTCTTGGAAAAAGGAATTTCAGAGGACAGTCATCCGCCCAAATGTCATTCCAAAAAGAAATAGACTTGCCATTTCCTACTTTCAATTTCGAATTTGACCTTAGACAATCTCCCACCGAATCATCCTTCAGATAATTATTAGCTATTCCTCTCAAAATCCAAGATGAATGAGGATGAGAGACCTCCCTAATCGACAACGAATTCCTACTAACCTTATGTCTGCTACACAGCACACCTTTCCAAATGGAATTTTTGTCATTGGCAAATTTCCACACCCACTTACCTAGAAGAGCCCGATTAGTGAGGTTCAAATAAAAAACACCTAATCCACCACATTTTATTGATCTGCAAACCAAGCTCCAATTCACCCAGTGGATTCTCCTCTTTCCCTCCTTATCACCCCATAGGAAATTGGCCATTAACGAGTTTAACTTCTTACCAATAATACATGGCATTCTAAACAAAGAAAGGAAGAAAATTGGTAAGGAAGATAACACCGATTTCAGTAAAACAGTCCTACCGGCCAATGATAAACATGAAGCTTTCCACCCAGCAAGTTTGGCACTAAAGTTCTTAAAAACAGGATCCCAAAGAGCCTTTGAATTCTTCTTGGCACCCAAAGGAAGGCCCAAATATTCTGTTGGAAAGGAACCTACTAAGCAACCCACTTGTGAAGCCCAATCTTTTAATTCATCGTCCTCCATGTTAATCCCAAACAGCTTACTCTTTACCAAATTTAAATGCAGACCTGCCATTATACTAAAAATCCTCAACACTCGTTTAACGTTCTTGAGCTGAGAAATCGAAGCTTGGCAAAAAATGATTAGGTCGTCAGCGAACTGAAGATGAGACAGCTTAGTAGTATTATCATTTTTGCCAATTGTAAACCCCTGGAATAGTCCCTTGTCCACTGCTTTAGAAAGCATCAAATGAAGCAACTCACCCACAATGTTAAACAATAATGGAGAGAGACTACAACCTTGTCGTAAACCTTTTTCCATTGGGAACTCATCCGAAGGAGACCCATTCACAAGAATTGAAATCGAAGCTGTTGAAAGACACTGTGAAATCCAAGCAGACCATCTGTTACCAAAACCCATCTCAGTCATTGCTCTAAATAAAATAGGCCATTCCACAGAATCATAGGCTCTACGGAAATCAACTTTTAGCACTACTCCTCTCAACCCTTGTTTTCTCCAATAATCAATTCCTTCATTCGCAATGAAGGCACAATCCAGCAGCTGTCTCCCCGGTATAAAGGCGAACTGAGACTGACTAATAACGTCACCAACACAGCAGCTAAGTCTCTTAGATAGCACTTTAGAGAGAATCTTGTAAAGACTACCCACAAGACTAATTGGCCTAAAGTCCCCCACATTATCCGAATTTAGTTTCTTTGGTATGAGCGTAATGAACGCATGATTAACCCCATGTTCCCAATCCCTGCCCAAATAAAAATCTTGAAAAAACCTCAAAACATGCTCCTTTAGAGTCGGCCAGCATTTCTTGAAGAAGCCCATTGTGAAGCCATCCGGACCTGGAGCTTTAGAGCTGTCCGAATAGGCTATTGCTTGCCAGATTTCCTGTTCATTGAACTGCTCCTCAAGTTTTGTAGATTGACTTTCTGTCAGCTTGGCGAAATCCAGAGATAAAGCTTCCACTTCCATTATAGACTTGTAGCTATAAGCCTTCTTAAAGTAGTTCGTAATATGTGCCTTTATCAAATCCGGGTCTGAAACAACAGAACCATTAATCATCAGACTTGTTATTTCGTTCCTCTTGCTCCTGTTTAACGCAGACAGATGAAAGAATCTTGTATTTCTATCCCCATCTTTTATCCATTTTGTCCTAGACTTCTGAAACCAAATACTTTCTTCCACCCTATACAACCTCCATAGATTCGTTCTGAACTGAGACAACTGATCCCATTCCTGCTGTGAGAGAACAACGTCTTGTGCCTTAAATTCTAAATCCTGGATCTTCAATTCCAACTCTGAAATAGACTCTGCAATCCCCTGAAACTTGCTGCCAGACCACTTTTTTATTGATTTTTTTGTACCTTGTAAAAAACTGAAGAATCCCCTTCTGCTCTTACTCCCCCTCCAATTTTCCAAAGACGATTGAACCAACTCCTCAAAACCTTTCTCCTCTAGAAGATAATTAAAAAATCTGAACGGTTTAGGACCCCAATCTACTGTTTTTTCCTCCAATAAGACAGGATTATGATCAGATAAAGACCTAGGTAATAGGCTCTGCACTACATTCGGAAAACATAACAGAAAATTCCCAGATATAAGAAACCGATCAAGTCTGACCCAAGTAGAAGTCTCTCTTTTGTTACACCAAGTAAACCTTCCCCCTACCATAGGGAGATCTATTAAGTTAGTTTGCACCAGAAAATTTCTAAGAATATCAATAGATAGCCAATTCTGAGACTTTCCCAACTTCTCAGCCGGATCCAGATACACATTTAAGTCACCCCCAATGCAGACTGCCACGGTTTGAGCAGCGACAAAATCCAACAACTCCCTGAAAAATTCCTCCTTTTCTGAATCAATTGAAGGACCATAAACATTAATAATCACACACTCTTCATTTGAATTCTTAAATCTTCCAAAAACTGCTATGAATCTGCCCGTTAAATGGCTATTTGAAACTTCGAAAACCATATCATTCCACAAGACCAACAGTCCACCTGCCGAACCCACTGCTGGAACGAAAGTTCCTCCATTAAGAAACCTTCCACCTAACCTCCTCCACAATGCCTGAGAACAACATTCTAACTTAGTTTCTTGGATGAGAAGAATACACGGCTTATGCTTCTTAACCATATTTGCTACAGCTCTAGATTTCTCCTTTTTACCCAAGCCCCTGACGTTCCATGAAATTATCTTAATCTTCATCATATATACACGAAAAACAGAAACTCCTCGAAGTAAAGAAATAAACCAGAAACCTATTCCCCCGGGCCCGTCCCTTCCCTATCTTTAACCAATCCCTCCTCAAGATTAATAATTTTTTCCAAGAATATCTTCTTCCCCTCTTTAAATGAGATCCCTAGAATTTTACTAACTTCTCAGGTGGCCAGAGCCTCCTCCAAGAAAATCGAGAAATTAGATGAAGACACTGTACGAATGCTAGCCACATCCAGAGCTTCCCTAGTCAAGATCCTTCTCCTTCTTCCCTTCTCCTTCCTACCCACTGGATTACACTGGCTCCCAGAACCAACCACTTCTACACTCTTATCCAGCTGAAAGTTGTCTCCTGCTGAGATGAAACTGGATTCGCCTTCCACCTCAACCTCTGTGGGACTTCCCTCAAAAATATTGGGGAAAGAATAGTTACTTAGGATAGGCTTACTGATATTCCTGTTAAGATCCATCAACACCAAGGGTTGCACTGCCCCCTCCTCTCGACTTGGGTTAAACCACACCTTTCTGTTTCTAGATCTTCTATAAACTCTAGATATAGCTCCACCACTCCGCCTTCCAATCGATGCATTCCTAATGTGAATACTCCTAGACAACTGTTCTAATGGACTCCAACTTCTTAAACCTTTTGCAAAAGACCCTTTGTTATGCCCTGACCCCTGAATGCTACCCGTGGTGACTGTCCTTGCTTCCCTTTCCACCATTGCTTCCTCTACACTGCTTACTTCCTTGTCCATCACTTCTACCGCCTCTGACATATCTTTATTAGACTCTTTTAGAATACCACACGGCTGGGACTGAAATCTAGCCTTGTCCCCATCACATGTCGAAAAAGAGTTAAGATCTGATGAAACAGTAACCAAATTCTGTTCATTGGGTTCAAACAAAACATTTTGATGTTGCTCTCCTACTGCCTCCACCCAAGACTCTTTAAGTTTACCATAGCCCAATTTATTTAAAATCGAAGCTGGCCCAGAAATAGAATTGGGCTCACTGGATTCCTTTGACTGGGCTTTATCACTTTCATTAAGGAAGACTTTCCTGAACCCAAGACCTCGAAAATCCCCTTCCAAATTCAAATTTTTTCCAGGAAAGTCTGACACCTTCACACCACTATGTTGACCTTCATTTTCCTGCAACATTAAATGCTGCCCCCCTTTGCCGCCTGCCAAATCTGCACCATCCACCCTAACCAACCCTTTGCCCCCTGCCTCTGATGTACCAACTTCTCCTACCAGCCTCCTGTCTACTTTGTCCCTAGACTCTTCAGCTAGCAATTCTAGACCGCCCACCCCGCCTGAGTACCGATCCTCTTCCTCCTCTGATGAAGCTTCATCTCTGAACCTACCTTCTCCCGCCACCATATAATTTTTTGCAAAAAAACTCTCCTGTTGTAAACTAACCGATCCCACACTAATTTTGACCTTAAAAGATCTCCCATACGAACCCAATGTAACAGATTCCTGAATATCGAATGGACTGGCCACCCTCAATAAAACTCGTGCTACCGCCATGTCCTCTTTTCTGACCGTCGACTCATGAAAGCATACCAGCTTCCCCCATCTTAATACAAGGTTTTCCAGAAAGGGAATATTCCAGCAAAGTAAAGGGATTCCAACTAAGTCTATTGAACAAAATGCCATCGGAACACCATCAACATTCATAACCGGATCAAGCCAGTCGAACCAGAAGAACAGTTCCTCCCGTCTACTTGACCAAGCCTCCTCAAAATCTTCCATCGAACCAAACATTAGGATACATGAGTTCCATGTAAATCCCCATTTAGCTCCCTTAACCTTAATCCCCTCACTAGCCAGCCCCTTTACCACTATCTCCAAATCTAAATGAGGTTTGATAATCCCAGTTAAAGATCTTTTTACCCAATTATAATCATCCGGGGGAGTATGCATTTCCCACAAATTCCTCATCCCATTAACCATACCTGAGAGACCCTCTCTGGTCCTTTTACTCACTGGAACTTCCCTCCTCCCATCCACAGAGACAACTGCATCCTTACTCGGTCTTTCATAACTTCCCGCCCTATCATACTCCTCTCTATCCTGTGCGTTCACCACCTCTTTGTACGTTCTGCCATCCCTAGGGCTGTTCTGCTTCTCCACAACCACTTGCTGCCTACCTTCCTCCCCTCTCACTTGCTTTTTTACTTCCCCCTGTAAACTTTTGTCATCAGTTGCTCTTCTCCTTTCCTTCCTATACTTTGCAACCCCCACTGAGACTCTTCTCCCATCTATCAATGTGCCATTGACATTCTGAATCGCTCTTCTACAACCTTCCTCCTTCGCATATTGCACAAAGGCAAAAGTCGACGACTTATAATTTGGTTTCACCATAAAACTTGGAATAAAAATCCTTATAACACGACCGTAAATATCAAAGATCTCTCTTAACTCTCTTCTAGTAACTCTCTTACTAAGATTATCTATGAAAACAGTCCATTCCTTATCGGAAGAAGAACGACCTGTCTCAAGCTCTCTAATTCTCTCTCTACCAGTCTCACTCATGGTTTATTTCAACAATATTTTCAACTATAGACGCTGCAGGAACAGAACTCTTAAATCCAAAGTGTCTTAGACATCATGGGCAGACACAAAACTAAAATACCATATGCTCCAGTATCTTCACTACTCAACCATATTTCCTTGACACCATCAGCTACAACGGTTTTGACACGCTCAACCTGCATTTAAGAGAGGTTATAAAAAACAGAAGCAAAAAGTAACAAAACATGTAGTAGCCGAGCAGCATAACTTACAAGACTGTCAACAGTGTAGCTCCCTAAGTGACCACGAGCATGCTTTGTCTTGCAATAAGTGCAAGCACCTAAACAACCGACATTAATTGGAAGAATCTCAACAAACTTGTTCTTTCTGACCTGATGTCAAATAAAAAAAATAAAGTTAAATTGATCTTTAATAGTAAAAATGTTATCACTTTTCTGCTAATTTGAGATTATCTATACTTTTAATTAAGGGAAACCTCTGGAAATTTTAGCATTGAATTTGGTACCACATTTCGTTAACTAACCCATTAGCTATTAAACACCATTTCCAAGTGAACAGTGTCAAATTTAAAGAACACAACGGTACAAAGAAAAAAAAGCATCTTATTTCGGTTGCTTCCTCCAATATCACCTATTCTATTCACCTTTCTTCGCTATTGCAATCTCTCCCACAATAACCTTTATGTTGTAATTGCATTTTTATAATAAAAATATATACATTTTTCATTTCACCTATCTTGCTGGGAGGTATTAGACTCCATTCAGTGATTAAGAAGTACGTCCAATAACAGAATAGTCATAAAGTAACTCCATTTAAGTAACTGAAGTATAAATTCATAAAGTAACTCCATTTAAGTAACTGAAGTAGAAATAATTAACAGTTCAAACCTTAGGAAGGTCCAGTGCTGGCAAAGTCTTGCGGTTCAAAAGCCGCACCTCATGCCCTTTCAGGGTCTCCTCTACAACTTCAACAACACGGTCAATTTGCTGGACTCCAACTATACTGACTCCCTCAAGCTCTTTCAAATCTCGACTTCCTTGAGGAACACACCCAGCAACCACCAGTAGCTTTTTTGCACTTTTACCTTTTGTTATTAACGTGTTCATTGCTGACTGACTTGGGTTTTTCACTGTGCATCTGCAAAACAAACCAAAAAGAGATAAAATTATTAAAACATATAAGCTGTTAGAAGTTACCAAAAATTCTTTTTAAGAAAAATGTGTTGTTCATTCCTTAGACATTCTGATGCAAATGAGGGTAAAAAACATAAGAACAAGATAACAATAAATATATCTTAATCAAACCATTATTTATCAGCACCCAGATCCAGAGAGAGAAAAAGGGGGGGAGTAGGAGAAGACAAATATTTATGCCTCTAAGCAAATATCCAAGGAAACGAAAAGGGTTTAATTGCTCGTGGCTGGAGGAAGCAGAATTTTCTCATTCTGTGATGCCTACTATTTGCTCAATGTCAGACTAGTAACTAGTTCAAGCATCTTATAATCATCGCACCGATCACAAGTGAAACACACAACAAGATTTCCTATTCAACTCTCTAAGCAACGTAACATCACATGAAATTGGTTTATTCTCTACTAGAAAGGCACTCAATTTAAACCAGAAAATTCTCCAAGACATCTTTTTCTGTAATCTTGATATCCCAATAATTTACCATAATTAAGAACCAGTGTAGAAAAGTTAAGCCTATAATGATGTTCATCAGTCTTTCACTCCACCATGAATGACCCATACAAGCTGAAGAATTTTTAACAAATTAAGATCAACAGATACCCTCACAAATTCAGGATTATATGACATTATATAAAATTACTGGTATATGGGGATACTGATTTTTCCCACATTAAAGCAATACATAGAGTAATATATATTGAGGTCATGAGAACCCAATGTTTTGATGATTTCTTAATTATTAAAACCATGATATCTATATCTCTGGTACTAAAAGAACATTAAAGATGATAAGGTGATGGCAATCAAGAGAAAGCTTAACAAATTAAATTAATTCAAGGGTGGAAGCCTTACGTATTTATTAGCCAAAGGTCTCCTTCCTCAGGATTGTCAGATAATGCATAGCCAAATGCTGAAAGCTGACCCGCCATATATTCACTGTCACTCTGACAAGAGGTCAAATTATCAGGAAAAAAATAGCAAAATCAAATTGGATTTTACACTCAAAACGATGTATGAACATGAATTAGATGGATTACACCTTTGTTCTTTTTTGAAAACCGAATGAAGTTCCATAAAGAATTAAAAAAAAAAACTTGCCTGTTATGGGAGAACCCAAAAGTCTTGACATAAATAGTCTGCAACAATTTGTTTAAAAAAGAATGAAGAACAATTTCAAAATTGATAAATATAGTAATATTAGGGAGTAGGAAAGGACCTGAGTGCCAGGGATTTTGGGAGGGTCATTCATAGTTGAAATCTTGCTGGGTTTGGCTGTGTTCTTCTTCCTGGGATTTACCCCGACGGCATTCAAAGGTAACCTAAACCCAGGAGGAGCTCCGCCGCTGCCGACCAACAAGTCCTCTATGTCTTCCATTTCCTTGGATCGATTCTTTCGACCTCAGTGGCCGCGCTGCAAGTGCAAGAAAGAAAAGGAGAACCAAACCTCTGTGTGTCCGCGAAAAGTGAACTTTGGGTTCACTAATTGGGCTTTGCTTCACTTTAACTGATTCCCAAACTGAAAAAGGAGGAACTTGCTGGGCTTCTACTTTCTTATGTTTCGCGCGGTTAACTGATAGCTCAAATCAGCCCAAGTATTATGGTCCTTCAACCACACATATATCTAAGTTTATTTGTTTGAATTCCAGAAAGATGGAAAAAATCCTTTATCCAGTTCTCCCTCAGCCTCAATCAAAAAGAAAGTCTTGTGGTGTTCATTTATTTGTTTGTACACAAGGCATATAGGATGAGGTTAGGGTTCACCATAGTGCATTTTGTTCCAGTCTGACAATGGCAAATTTCTCAGCTTTACCACCTGTTCCTCAGTACAGTCCTGGGATGCTAGCTAATGCAAATAAGCATCAAATTAGACCCAGAGTTTTCACTGTCTTTGCTGCAAAATCAGGTCCCTTAAACTCCGTAATAAAACTCTCTTCTTCTCCCTGCATCATTCTTTATAAGCTTATTTACAGAACGTAAAATCGTATTCCATTTGCATGCAGATATTGAACAGATGTCAGAAATGTGGAGGCAAAGGGGCCATAGAGTGTACTGGATGTAAGGTGGTGTTGTACTTTCTTGACCTCCAAGAAACGTTGTGCATTTCCATACACTACCATGCTAAATCTTGCTGCATTTTTGAGTTAATTCATAGCGTTTTCTTTTTGCAGACTGAGTAAATGATGCTTAGTTAATTTGTATCATGCATGATTTGAGTTTCCAGGGAACAGGGAAAAACAAAAAGAATGGCAACATCTTTGAGAGATGGAAGTAAGTTGTTTACTTATATTATGTTTTAGAATAAGATTTATATGGGAGATATATAATTATATTTTAATTGTTTAAATAGAAAAATGAAATTGGATTTGTTTCAGATGCTTTGATTGTCAAGGATTTGGGTTGAAAAGTTGTCCTATTTGTGGGAAAGGAGGGCTCACACCTGAGCAAAGAGGAGAAAGGTAGAGACTTGAGTTTTTAATGGAACATATTATATCTCATCACAATCTACAAACTCTCAAAAACTTTCCCTCACTTTATTATCATTGTGCTTCTTCTCAAAAACTATGATACTATAATGTTAAATAAATATTTAAAACGTTATTGAAAATATTTGTTAACTACATTTGTAACATTTTGTGTATATATCTAAAATATTATAATTTGTGTATATACATAAATAGTTAAAAACATTGCAACAAAGTTGTAACAAACTGAAACACAAAAATTAGTAATATATTAGATGTATACTTAACTATTCAAAGGTTAGTCAATAAATCCTATTGAACAAAACTAGAATATATAACCATTGCTCAAAAAAAAGGAAGATACATACACCTACTACAAGTATAGGAAGATAAAGAAGATCCTGGAAAAGTTAAATTCGGCTACGGTTTCCACAGAACATTGTTGAACTCTAGCACTTTACTCAAAGATTAGTCAATAAATCCGTTACGAACAACCAGGAGTTTGCCCGAGATCCATCATATCCATTTGCGGTGGAGTTACTCTTTTCCGAATAAGCATTTCCACGGTGGGGTACGTTCTCTTCCGCCCACCTCTGGGCCGTAATCAAAATTGCTGATCAGACTCCAAGAAGTCGCCGTGCACAAATAGTTGCAGAAAAACTATGAACTTTGTCTAAAATGAAAAAGACCAATACCAAATGACAGAAGCTCACAATAGCATTGAGCCATTGAATAACTAATAACTTACTGGAGTATATACGTGGCACCCTGATTTCTCATGTTTATCTCTAACATGCTTGTACTTTAATTTCATGCCACAACCAAAGCTACATGCATAAGGCTTGAGTTCTTAGTGCACGGCCTTGACATGTTGGCGGATATTTGATTTCTGTAAAAGAATATTTCAACACATCAGTGAAAAATAAAAATGTTTATGATCAGAAAACAATTTTAGCAAAGAACACTTGCTTAGTCTATAACAATGACATTCAACTTCTTATGTATTTTAAGGTTCACGGCATCTTACGGTTGAAAATGTGTGCAGACAACCCTCAAAATCACACTTAATTCTCTCTAACGAAACCCCTCCTGGTTCATGTGATTGGAGGTGCCTCTTGATGTTCTTCTTCACCTGCTTTGCACCACAAATCTGACAGTTAATATATGCATGGCATGATTGCACATGAACCCTAAGACATTGCTCATTAGTAAAATACTTCATGCAACCTGGTTCGGAACAGAAGGCTTCCACCGAGTCCAGATTAACTGTGACGGTTAAGGAATTCATCAGAAAACATGTTAATCAACACCCTCGATCAAGAGTGCTTACTTCTTTCATTTATTAAAATAATACTGGCATGATTATTAACATATTATCTTATGAAACCCACACAGTGTTAGACACATCAAATCAGATGCTTTGATATGATTTTGAAAACAAAAAAGGAAAGGAACTTGCCATGAGAATCCTCATGCTTTTTCAACTTTGATGCAAATTTGAACACCTTTCCACATCCTACTTCTTGACAGACATATTGCTTCTGACTTCCAGCATCAGAGGAAGATGACTCTTCATCATGAATTTCTTTTAGATGCCTTGTCATATTTCCTTGAAATGCAAAATCTTTATTGCAATTCTCAATCGGACACTTGAAAAGTTTCCCTTGGTGCTGAAGAATGTGGCGATTCAAGTGGTCTTTCCTCCTGTAGCTAGCGCGGCAATCTTCAACTGAACAAACAAATGGCCTCTGTAGTAAAATTTTTAAAAAAAAGTTATTAGAATTACTAGCACGTAGCATACATCATAGATGTATACATGCACATTAGCAAGTCTTCAAACCTCAAAGTACACCGCAGCTCGTGACCGAGGCTCACTTGATGGAGCTTCTTAGGAGGTCTCCCAACCTGATACTGGTCCATTCAAGTAATAACAAAACAGCCTCTTGCATTTTGGAGTTCTTTTTGTGGGATCCAATGCTTCACGCTATAACAACAAATGGTTTTTTTCTTTATAAAAAAAGGAACTCCTGCAAACGTATTCATCCTTGATAGACATGAACAAAGTTATCAAAGGCTCAAGGCGCATCGAGGCGCAAAGTGTCCTGGAGCCTTGAGGCGCGAGGCGCATGAAAGACGCGAGATTCACGAAGGCGAGGCGCGTGATATCCAAAAAATTGTAACACGTGTATATATTAATGCAATCAAACTCAAATATCATAGATACCCAATATTAGGCTTCAATAGAGTTTATTCTCAAATTCAAAATACCAACCTAACGTCATAAAAGTTATCAACAAGCATAATCAAGTACTAAGTTTAACAAAAACATTCAACATGCAAAAATAAAACATCAAATAAAGTCACTGATAATCATCATCAAACATCAAACTAATCATCATCATCATCGTCAAGTGGTATGTCATCATCTTCCTCCTCATCCGTCTCATAATCCCCAATGTCTTCTTCTTCAGTGTCACTCTCCTATAGCATAACAACTTCATCATCTTCATCATCTTCATTTACAAGGTGTGGTCTAGCTTTTTCCTTTCCTTTCGAGCTTGAACTAGCAACGTTCTTTCTTCTAGTATTATGGTCACGCTCATAAGCTCCGGAAGTTATACCAACATCCTTCCATGTCAAATCTGTAACACCCCCAACTCATACCCGACCCGGATATGAGTCAGAGATACTACATTGACTTTAAAACACACTCTTAATAAATAATAGTAAAATATTGGGACTTGTATTAAGAAAATACAATAATATACATACTGTAATATAAGTTTACAAAAATATTCAGAGCATACACAACTTAACTCTTTAATTACATGCCAACTGCTATTTATATAACAAAATAACCTACTGATAAGTTGCTTCTGATCTGATGGTTGCAGGAGTAATACTGTCAAGCTGCTTCACCTGTCTCTTCTATTTTCCTCGGATCCTACGTGTGAAACACTCACACGCTAAGTCATCGACTTAGTGAGGCAACAATAATAAGGCAATGTATTGTAATGAATATGTCAGGATCATATGAGATGAGATGCAAACATGTAACTAATCAATGTAGTATACTTTAACAATATCCATACCTGTAAGCGTATGACTGTAACATTCATTATTCAGTATTAATAAGTTTATTGGCCCATGATAGCATATTGAGAACCTAAGGTATTTGAGTAATGTGAGGTTGTGCACTATGCTGTCACCACAGCTCGTATAAATGCACCGAAGTGCCCGTAGAATTGCACCGAAGTGCCCGTAGAATTGCACCGAAGTGCCCGTAGAATTTTGTCCATAAGGACCACGTAGAATCCTTTAAGAATCATATACATATACTATGGATCAAGTATGTGTCTTTCAAGACTTCACACAGGTTCCAAAGGATATACATATGTCCTAAAGAACCGAGTATACCCTCTACCCTTGGCATGCCAACTATACCTATAGTTCTCATCTACATAACATGGGCTTATACATTTCCCGTAGTTCATATCGCGTAGACATAGTATTTCCATACCTTTAACACATAGGCATATCATTTACATACTTTTATCACATAGTGCATAGAACTTTTCTGCATATTCATGTCATGTAATACATATAAGATGAATTCATGTCATGTAATACATTTAATACAAATTCATGTCATGTATCATAATATGGAATGTAATCATGTGTCAAAATATGGAATCTAGACTTATCACAAGTCTAGAACTGAATATACTACTGTATTCATGCTATGCATATGCACTCACCTATACTTCTTTGCCTTTTCCTCGATCGATCCTACTTGTAGATTGTTCCCGAACTCGAGTAGGCTCGGTATCTACATAAACATAATTTTTTTAAGATGATCATCAGACGTCTGTGTCTTGAAATTTAAGCTTTAATAGCTTACTAATTAAAAGAATTAATAGCTTAGTCTTGCTTTCTTTTCTTTCTTCTTCTTTTTCTCATGGGGGAATCGGTTCCCCCCCCTGGGGTATCGATTCCCCTTAAGCAATCTGGAATTCATAT